ATGTAGAGAAGAGATCAAAATGGTGTTTGATGGTGTAACAAACAATTCTTATACATTAAATATGCAAGAATTATGTACTTAATGGTCAAATACTGTTTGAAATAAACAGATAGCAGAATTTAATCTTTCTAAAATTGAAACATTTAGAAAATCATTTTAGGATTAGCTGATAGTAATTCCTAATTTATTTGTAATTACAAAATCTTCCAATTATTCAAATTATTTGATGACTGAACTTATATTTATTTAAATATCACAGTGTCACAAATTTCAGGCTTACTAATGTAAAGCCTGAGGTTTGTGACTCAGATTAATTCCTTTATTAACATGTTAGGTTAGTGATATTAGCAATATCCATTTTGGATTTATAATTGTTAAAAGATTTAAATTAATATATTTCATAATAATAGTAAATTTTTAAAAATCCAGTTATTAATTTGTTTGGTAGTATCTTATTATTAAAAACTAATCTGCAGTTTATTTTAAAAATATTGTCATAATAATTTATTTTAATGTATTAACTTTCTTTGAATACTAAGCAGGTTCAGACACACAATAGATTGGACAAGTAATAAGGGATAAAGTCTGATATGTCTGGGTACATAGAACTAATTTCATTTCATTATTCATTGAAACAGATGTAGTAAAATAATAAAATGGCTTTCTTTTAAATAAAAATAGAAAGCTATACAAATTTATTACATTTTAGCAAAAATTTTGTAATTCATTGAAATTTATTTTGCTAATTAAATAATTTAGTAAGTGATAAAGTTACTAAAATCAGATTATCCAATGTGGTTTCTTTTTAATAGTAAAACTTTATAATCATTAGTGATGATCTATATTTATGGCAAAAAAAATAAATAATGACATTTTTAGCAGACTATATTTAGAAGTAATAGAATGACAGTCTTTAATACAGTTGCATTCATTGCTTATTTGCCAACAAAATAAATAGTTTGAAGTTCAAACTTCATTGCACATTACTTGTATTTGTGAGATTCTTTTTCTGTCATTTTTAATAACATTAACATCGAGCAGATTAAAAAAAACCCCTTAAATAATAATAGCTGTGTCTGCTTTATAATTATAAAACAGAAAATTTGTTTTATTGTTAATATATTATGATTAGTGATGTAACGAATATTCAGTTACTATTCAGTATTCGGCCCATTTTACGCTATTTGGCCAAATACCGAATATTTAATCACTATTCGGCCAAATACCTAAAAACAGGAGTAAGAAATAACAAAAACACAGTAAATTAATCATTTTGGTATTTAGATTTAATGTTATCGGGTTAGTGTTGTTTGTTTATATTTATTTATAATTTATAACATGCACAAAATAAAAAAGAAAATAATATTAATCACATGTATTCACAATTTATAATTGCAAAGATCAGCACACGTACACACCTATTTGTTCGAGAATCGTCGCAGGGTCTGACCCTGTCTATCCTTCTTTTTAAGCACTCGTCTTTGCTATTCCCTTTCTCTTTCTTCTATTGCTCTAGTCCATGTATGACTATGCATACATCATAATACGTGCTCACAATACTTTTGATTCGTCACTTTTCTGTCGTAGATTTTCCATTTTACAATTACGTGACTCATAGCCTGGTGATAACAAAGAAAAGAGACAGATAGGACATCAGTTTAAGTCACAGTTATGATTTCACAGATTCAAGACAGCTTGGTAGCCCAAACAGCCATAGGCTTTCGCCTGTGCACACTAAGTGACTTTCATTACAAGCATTTAGCTTTCCGAAGTCTATGACAACAATTGTTTGGCATTGACGGCTGCGAATTTCGTGGCAATAAGTTGCCTCGACTTGTTCGATTATGTTATCAACTCAATTTCATATTTATTTTTACATTTTCACTTTGCAGTCTTTCTCTGTTCTTTTTCTGTTATTTACACGTGTAGGTTATTTCGTTGTTATCCACATTTGATATCATCATTTATCACATACTGCCATGACGCTCTTGTCTGTCCACTACAACTGTCAAGAATTAATGCGATTGGCAAATCATAGTGACAGAGGGCCAATAGAGAGCAGGGTCCTTGCCATAATGTGGTTTGTGAGCCAATTTTCGTAGGTGCGTTAATCAAGCCAAATAGTTTGGCCGAATATTCTGCTACTCGGCCACACTCCTGGCCGAATATTCGGTATTCGGCCTCAGGCCGAATATACTATTCGTTGCAACACTAATTATGATGATTCAAAAATAAATATGGGACATTGTTTATATAGTAATTGTTATTTGATATCTTATTTTAATGTATAGAATTCTTGAAGATGAGATTGGATCTTGGGGTATTCTGAATAATTCATTTGTCATTTTTAATAATACTGAAATAATAACAACTATATATTATATGTATTTATTTCTAAAATCTAATTAATTGATTTTTTAAAATTTGTTTATATGTGTTGTGGTATCATTATCACAGTGCATATATTATGATAATTTGTTTATATAAGGAAACCTACTTTACTTGTGTGCTATATTGAATATTGAATACAGGACTCGTAAGGATGGGATCCTATCAGTATAGGAGACCAAAATTTGCATTATATTTTTGTTAGAAATAAATTAATTAGTTCATACAGTTCTAATACAGTAGATCCCCCTATAAAACCGTTTCCTATAGTTATGATTCCTATAAAAATTGTGGCAGTATCCGTAAACAACGGTAAAAATAACTCCTATAATACGTAAAACGTCATCGGGCAGCCGAACTACTTTCCCGCCGTCCGTAGC